TCTCCATTCATGGTACTATTTTTCTTCTCTCACACCAATCTGGAACACTTGGGAGATATCTGCACCACATAAGAGAGCAAAGACTAGGCAGAGTTAGGGTAATAGTGAGGAGATGGCTAGACGTGCCAGATTATCCATGCTTTTCTCTGGACTACAGACACAGAAGAAATACCTTGGTGATGCAGTATCTTTTCTTCAGTATCCACCCCTGTGCTCACTGTTTCCAGACCACCTCATCACCACAGTACATGACTGCGGAAGAGATATATCAATCCCAAGGCCAGATGGGACCACTGTAATAATCTAATTTGCGTTCTTATACCATCTCTGACATAGAACTCTCCCAAAATAATTCCTGGAGCACATTATTTTTTTAGAAAAATAACCAATCTGGACATAAAAATGGTCAGATTCCACCACAAAACTTGGAATACTGGCCAATGGCTAATTATCCTTAAAAATGTTAAAAATATGTGCCTTACTGCCACTGGTCCACTGGAACCTGTCACTCATGCAGATTTAGAGTCAGACTAAAGAAGCTAGCTGTATAAAGACATATATGAACTCACATACAATTACCAAAGAGTCCCATCTACTTATATAGCCCTCACCACCATGTAAGCTGAAAGACTCCTTTGAAGACTTCCCTCCAGCAGTTAGGTGTTTTTTGTTGTTGTTGTTTTTTTTTGAGAGAAGGTATTAATGTACGTAGTTCCTAATATCTTTTAGAATTTACAGAAGGACAGGTGAAACAAATTTAACACTGTAATTCACAGATAACCTGTTCAACTGTTGTTAACTCCAGGGCATTTGTGATAAAACCTGAAATAATTGTGTGCATATTTGCATTCCAAGGTTGGTAGTGGGAAGGGAACACTGTTTTGGGGTTTTTAATTAATTCTTCCATTCACTTGTGCTCTCAAATCTTTAAATAAAACAGTTACCTCCAATAAAGATTGAATGTTCTGAAGTCATGTACACATGCATATGTATATAATATATATAGCATGTGTTTATTTTAAACACAGTCAACTAATATGTGTGTTTGGTTTCTTGCATTATTTTTAAGACCCCTTCTATCCTTTCCCCAACTGCTGTTCTTGCCCAAGTATATAATGATTAATGTGTCCTTGAGCAAATGCGATCCGATCTGTCTGATTGTATTAGTTCCTGTTCATTGGAGTTACTGAGCATCAATCACGTTCTAATCAAAGCTTGTGTACATTGATTTTTTTGTAAACAGTGTCAACAATAAGGTTCATTGTGATCCTGAATTAAGTCCTTATTGGCAACAAAAACTAATTAAAAAGAAGCCAGCTTTCATATTCAATCATGCCATTTCTTTTAAATGCAACCATATATGTTTCTAATGTGTCTCTTAACCTGTTACATGCTCTAAAACTAGAATAGCCTTTTTAAAGAAAATAGCATACGATTTGTAATAATTGATTTCATTAATGCAGATATCATGATGGAACTTCCCTTAAAGTCCTCAAATGCTAATAGGTCTTTCTTACCTTTTGCAAAAAGCTGTATTTAAAAATATTTATTTTAACATAGCAAATGGTCTATCTTAACACGAATGTGTATTTTTTTAAAATATGGGAACTCTTCCTTTAATAAAACCCACTGCAGACACCATATACTGTGCACTGAAATGAAGTAATCGCCACTTATATGAGCAAGATCACATCTCCTTGTTCAGAACTGGCAGTGTAAGTGTGTCACCATAATGATAAAAATTGATACTGATGTATTGAACTCTCGTTTATATTGTTAAGAGGAAGTGTTCTAAGTTTAGAACTAAAAAACAAAAATAAACTAAAATAATATGAATGCTGTGCTACCTGGTTTCTTAAGATTATACCAGGTATCCCATCCATTTAATAAGCAATATTTAGTGATAGATTCAAAACTGTTCAAGATTAACTATCCTCATATATATAAACAATCTTTAAAAATAAAATGCTCTTACTTAATAGGGATGTAAAATCCCATTTAATTGGCTAAACAGTTAAACATATTGATTAATTGGTTAACTGATTAAAGGGGGGGGTGAGTGGAGTGGCCACTCCAGCCCAGCTGGAGTGTCTCCCTCCTCCCACCCCACACCACTGGGCTGGAACCCTTCTTCCCTCCACTGCAGGAGCGGCTGCTCCAGTCTGGCCAGAGCAGCCCCTACCTGCCTCCCCCCACACTGTGGACAGAGGCTGCTTCTCTGGGGCATCGGAGTAACCCCCTACCTGTGTTGGGCTAGGGCACTCTGCAGGTAGGGGCTGCTTCAGCACCCTGACTGGAGCAGCTTTCTCCGTGCAGGCCCCCCGTGGAGCTGAGACACTTCCCTGCCTGCAGGAAGAAGGGAGTTGCTCAACCCCACGCCCCTAGTTAAACATAACTGGTACGCCTCACCCATTAAGGGTGAGGGCTACCGGTTAAACCATTGCATCCTACTACTTAATGAGAACCAGTTGATTTCATCCTATGTTGATCTTTCTGAACTGTTAAGCGAGGATTAAAATGAAACCCAATACTGAATATTTATTGCATTAACTTGTAGCTATTCAGATAGTTTGAGGATCCAAGCAATTTTATTCAATTACTGAAGGAAGTACCTGGGAGTGAAAAATGCCTACAAGCATAATGTCCTAGAGCTCATGTTTAAGGATGGATGAAATGGTTTTCAAGGTATTAGGAAACTGCTGACGTTTTGGGATGGTTTTGAAATATCTGATTAACTCCTCTCCCCTGCTCATACCCATACATTTTTGCAGTTCTGCATTCCCAGATTCTAGATGGGATAAGTGCCAAATTTCTTGGGGAGGGGGGAAACCTGTTCTGGTGGTCTTTCCATCCTGACTGGAAGCAAGTAGTACTGAGAACCTCATAAAAAATGTTCTCAGGTTTCTACCTACTTTCTGCAAGTTCAAGAGGTTCAGAAAAGCACCCAAAACCCTGGATGCTCATCCAAAGCTTTTCTGAATCAAGTCTAGTTTTTAAACACCTTGAGCCGTGCCCACTACCACCAGTCTTCTCTAGGGCTGGTTAACCCAAGCATAAGACAGCCTACTTCAAATGTGTCACAAGACCCTGTGGAGTGTTTTAGCCCAGTGGTCACTGGCTGGTAGTCAGATAAGTCAGGTAAGGACAACTTACACAATGCTGACACGCAGCTAACGCCAAGTTTAAAATAAATTAAAGTCTGGCAGAATATCCCAAAGACAGTGATCTTGCAGCTTCAGTTGTCAAAGTCACTTCTAACTAGGGATGTTACATTTTGATTAATCAGCTAATTGAGAAGTCAATGGAATTTCCTGATAACAGAGGCAGCGGGGAGAGGGTGGGGAAGGGTGACTAGTTGAGTAGTGACTCAACTATCCGATAAGTCTACGCTTCTCGGGTAGCTGACTAGTCGCTTACATCCCTACTTCTAACTAGGCTGGATGAAGTACTTGGGACTATATTAAACAAAATGCTTTTTACATTTACAGGACGAACCCATAGTCTTTCCTGATTCTAATTTCCATGATATTCTAGGGCTACGTCTACACTGGCATGATTTTGCACAAGAACGCTTTTGCGGAAGAGTTCTTGTGCAAAAACTCTTCCAGAAAAGAGCGTCTACACTGGCATGTGCCTTTGCACAAGAGATGTGCTTTTGTGCAAGAGCATCCATGCCAGCGTAGACGCTCTCTTGCGCAAGAAAGCTCTGATGACCATTTTAACCATAGGGCTTTCTTGCGCTAGAAATTCATGTTGCCTGTCTACACTGGGCTCTTGTGCAAGAACAGTTGTGCAAGAGGGCTTTTTCCTGAGCAGGAGCATCATAGTTCTTGCACAAGAAGCACTGATTTCATACATTAGAATGTATTAGAACACAGTGACTCCTGCGGCCAGTGTAGACAGGCAGCAAGTTTTTGCACAAAAGTAGTTGATTTTGGGCAAGATCACGCCAATATAGACACAGCTGAGGGAATTCCATGAACTGTGTGAGTTAGCATAGCTGTGGAATTGTGAAACATCTGCACAGCTACTGAGAGGTAATTCATAGCTAAAGAAGGAAGCATCTGCTCAGTATAGCAGTTCCAGGTCAGAAATCACAAAGGAATATCCATTTTCTCTGCATGAAGAACATGGTGGAAGGTTGTAGCACCTCAGTAAAGAAAAAAAATCTCTCTCCCAGGGGAAAAATAGGAACTGAGCAAAGGCAACCATAGTCTAAAGAGAAGAATATATCTAACAACATTATAAAGTATTATTTTGCTGCTATATCTAAGAGATAGAAACTTGGATCCATTTTTAGATGTCTGAGGGGATCGATTTCACTTATTTGGGTGGTGAATATTATGGGTCATCTACTTTGTTCAGTCCCCACAGTAACAACTGGCTGGTTCTTAGAGAAGTTAATCTTATCCTAGTTGTTACGATACAGACTGTGATATTAATTATATTTACTTATATTTACAGAGATGAGTTATAATATTGTGGGATGAACCCTGCTTTGTTCTACCACAATGAAACTAAGGCCTAAGAAATAAATTAATAGAATTTGGTCCCATGTCTATAGTTCCCCCACAAAAAAAGTTAGAAGAATGATTCACAAATGGGAACCAGTGGTCTACAAAGCATTGACTGGTCACATGATACTGGTTCTTCCTTCCTCCTTATTTTTAGCTGCTAAATTGGATTTACAAGAAAGCTACTTCATTAGCTTGCCTGAGCATGGGTTTCCTTAGCAAACCCTCCTGCAGATAGATTGTGAAAACAGTTTTTTAGTAAATCATGTTTTCTTTTGATTCTTTCTGCCCATTTTGGTGGAAATAAGTGGAATCTGATTTTTTTCTCAATGGCTTTGTGCAGAGAAACAAGTCTGAAATCATGGCTGAGGAGGAGAAATGGTATAACATATATACAATAACAACAAGTTACAGATGATTTATTGATTACACTCCATCCTATGGCAACCCTTCAATTAAAAAGTGATGGACATAAGGCTATGTTACCTGTCTGATCCATTCCATGCACATTCAAACTTGTCAAAGATGCAGTCGTTTTCATAGAGGGAACACAGCTTGCTCCTAAGGTAATCATGGACCTATTTAACAGAAAAAGACAGTGCAGATTTTAACAAATCTTTGTTTTAGAATTTGTCCTATACCATTGCCCTTAGAGGTTGGTAGATTTTACAACAACAGAGAACTTCTAACTCTTAAACAAGATGTCTTGATTGTCTATAGTTCAATTAAAAGAATGCTTTGGAATTAGTAGCAGGAAAGTTCTGATAAGATCATGCTCTTCTGAGCACACTACAGATCACCTCTCTCAAACACAGTTGGTTTCTTTTAGCGTGAATTTCTGAATTCTAGCCTGATTCCAAAATGGATCTTCTCAGCTGATACAGCAGATGTGCTAATGAGAGAATGAATGATCTAATTTAAGTGGCAAATAATCATAATGTTAGATCTATATTGTTTTTCACTTACAATTAGGGCTCTGAGAGAAAGAAGGTTCCTGCTCCATTTATAAAAATTAGGGCTGTCAAGCGATTAAAAAAATTAATTATGATTAATTGCGATTAAAAAATGAAATTGCAATTAATGGCGTGATTAATCACATGCGCTGCCCCTTTGAAACGCTGTGGCGGCGTTTAAAAGATGCAGTACTGTGGAAGTCTGGGATCAGCTGGAGTCCTCAGCTGACCAAAGGCTCAGTGCAGCTGCCCCTTTGAAACACTGTGGCGGCATTTCAATGGGGCAGTGCTGCAGGGAGCCAGGGGTCAGCTGGTGTCCCCAGCTGACTCCAGCTCCATTCCTTGCTGCTTCTTGGAAACGCCAGGACGGCATTTCCAAGGGGCAGCACCGCAGGAGCTCGGGATCAGCTGGAGTCTCTAGCTGACCACAGGCTCTGTGCGGTGCTGCCCCTTTGAAACGCTGCCGCAGTGTTTCAGAGGGGTAGCACGTGCGATTAAATGTGCAATTAATCACAATACAATTTTTTTAGTCACTTGACAGCCCTAGTTTTTATAATTGGAGCAGGGACCTTCTTTCTCTCAGAGTCATAATTGTAAGTGAAAAACTATATAGATCTAAGATTATGACTATTTGCCCAGCTGATCCCTGGATCCACTTTGAGCTGCCACTTTGAAGTGTTGCTCCGGCCCAGCGCATTAGGAGCCCCTTTCCAGCTGATCCTGGGCTTCCTGCAACTCTTCCCCTTTGAAGTGCTGGAGTTGTGCTTCAAAGGGGCAGCGCAGCATTAACGTCTGCGATTAACGCATTAAAACAATTAACTCATTAATCCTGCCCTGCGTTAATCGCAGGCGTTAACGCACATCAATTGACAGCCCTAATAAAAACTATAATCTCTTTGTATTACATTATATAGCAATTCAGAAATAAAGTATATAGCATCTTGTTTACATGGACTAGTAGTCAGAATGCTCTCCCACTGATCACTACTTCATATCAGTGATTATGTCTGAGATCTGAAAACAAACCACGATTTCTTATTTTGCATGCTTTGCAAGTGAGAGACACAGAAGACCTTGTTTTAGGCTATGGAATGTGAGATCATCATAAGAGGATTGCATTTCATCAGACCTTTAATGAATTCATTTTTTTCTTCTATAGGATACAGAAATAAAGAGCCAGAGAATTCCTGCCTGCTCAAGGCCTAGTAAGTATCTTATAGAATCACAGAATATAGGATCTTCTATAGGATATTCTTCACTCCCACACTGAAATAAAGAGCCAGAGAATTCCTGCCTGCTCAAGGCCTAGTAAGGATCTTGATGGTCTCTAGTAGCTGTTACAACATTCCTAATCTTTACCCAGGAACAGTAAACAACATTCATAGGAAAGTTGATTAGATGACTTCTGAGGATGTTCCATATCAATGCAATGTACCATAAGGGCCAAATTGATTCCTAGCATTAGAAAGTACCCTGCCACTGACATTTATGGAAGCTATGCCTTGTTTATGTTAGATCTAAATTTGCCTCTCCTGGCTGTGGCATTCCCAACACATGCTCAGCATCCTCCTCTAGTCAACAGCCTAAAATATCTCCAACAAGATATTTTAATGCCAGTTTCATTGCTCTGTCTGGCTAGTTCACTCAAGTTTTATTAAATCTAGAAGTGTTTGTAACAGCTGCATGATGCTGCACCGTGAAAAAAAATCTTTCAAATCAACTCAATTTTTATGAGCTATAAATTTCTGTCATGGATTAGTTTTTAGAATTAGATTATCCTATGTTAATATATGATCAGTTAAAGTACGTCAGCTGAACATATTATTTAATATCTAATAAACATGTGGGAGATGTGGGTAGAATGTTTCACAGTTAAATGCATTTACTGAATGTTGTACATTGTGATGCATGTTCATGGTGGAGACTTCATATACCCTACACAATTAGATCATTCTACCTTCCAGACTTCTTCAGCAGAAATTGGCAGGGTTCCCTAATTGTCACTCATCTCTGAGGTGACTTAATCATTGTCACACTTGTTAATTTTTAATTGTATTACAGGATTGGAATTATTTGTATTAATAGTACTGTGTTATATGAGTGGGGCCCTTTTCTAAATATCTGATTGCCTAGCACAAAAATCAACACAACAAGGAAATTGACAAAAGGGGATGGGGTAGTTTGAGAGGATAAAGCAGCAGTAAAATGATATGCATGATATTCTTTGGTCTCAGATCTCCACTTGCCTTGCCATTTTCATCTTTTGTGCTCTTTTTTCTGCTATCTGTTCCGTATACCACCTGTCCGCTGTAACTAATGCTCCCTTTGAAAAGCGTGTTCAGCTCAACTTCACTTCAGCCCATACTATGCAGTGCTTTGTGTTTCTCCCACTTTCATCCTTCCTTCTGAATTTCTGAAGTTCTTAACTCCTCATTATCAAGATGTTGATGCTCCGTCCTCCACTGGCATTCACAAATGCCAGTGCTCATTTGTCAGCTCTTCGCGCTGACCTTTCTTTTCACTCTTGCTCACACTGATACCCTCCAAGGTAACTGTGAAAATCTACACTGTTAACATTTTGAATATCTGTCCTTTTTTCCACTGTCATCTCCCACTCATGGAATGTGGAACCATCCTAAAGAATGAGGTTATCAAATCAGCACCCACTGTATCAGTAAATTAAACAATGTACCAGAGGCAACCAGGCACTAACACTACCAAGATCATCCTCCTGTTGGGCTCTTCAAAGACAGCACCGGTCAGAAGAGTGGTTGTGGAAGCACATGCTGCTACCACTTTAAGACAGGCACAGGGGTAGCTTACACTGGGAACTTTTGGAAGGTCCACATCTCCTCTGTAGGGGCTCAGGGCCACAATTTTCCTCTCTTTCACCTACCCTTGATTAATTGATTGATGTGACTGGCAATTTAGAAACATGAATTCAGTGGGATAATCAAGGCCAGTAGCACTGCAGGAGTGTTTAAAAAAATCGAATACCACAAGCAATAAAAATGATTGCACTTGTATACTTAGGGTTCTATTTATTATTAATAATAAATAATAATAATAACAACATTTCCACTACTTAGTGAATTCTGAACGTAAAGCCCCTACTATTTGATGGTAGTTTGATAATAAAACTGGATTTTTATTGTCCAAGTATTGTTTGTATGTGTTATCTTTCCACTTGTGGAAAATGTTCTAATCTTCATAAAAGTGTTCTGAAGGAATTGCCACCAGAATATTCCTTTCTAGAACAATGCTCCTCTGGTATGTAAGCCCTTGATAGAATTATTAAGGTATTCTATGCTCTGGGGAAACAATGGGGAGCTATTTTGGAAAAATATATTTCAGGCAGGGATTGCCATGGCAAAAGGCATATTGGTCTGAATTATTGACATTAAGCCTTGTCTACTTTGTGGTATCAGTGTGATCCCAAATGTGATCAACTTTGGTTGTTGCTAACAGAGTTCTGTATTGTTCTGACCAGCAAAGTGATCAGGCCTTAGAAAATTGCATGAGACACCTATTTTAGAAGATGTCCTGGAAACCAAATTCTGTCCATGGAACAGTTCTAAATTGTGTCTCTTCTTGACCTCTATAGAAAATCTCCTATAGTGACCCTTCATGTCAATAATCTCATCTTGTCTCCAAAATATATACATTCCATATGTGTACATGGCACTTCACTGACAGTCCAAATTTAGACATCTACAACAAGGGAAGGTCAGGCACAGTGAATTAAAAAGGCCAAGGGTTGCAGTAAAAGAACATGGTAGTAGTTGTAGTTAGCAATAAGCTTAACAGTTTTCTGAGAGCAAGTCATGTATAAGTGATGTGACGAATAGGAAGAAGGCAGGAAAAATGGTGAACTCATCAGAATAAGAGAGGAGGGAAGGTAGATGGAGTGGATAAGGGCAGCAATATCAATAGAAAGAAGGTGCTTCTGTAAAAAGGGGAATGTGATGGGGAAACACAGAGAGGGATATGATATGCCACTAAAAGTGAACAAAGTCACTATGAGAGAGTTTGAATATTAGTTCATTTGGATTGACCACTGGAAACTGTGAGGGCTCCCTCCTTTTCTCTAGTGCAAACACTAGCTGATTCCAGACACCTGATGCCTTTTGCAGGCCCCCCTATCGAGAGGCTGGGCGATGAAATAGAAATCTGTTGAAATGGAAATATGTTATGTGTATTCCTTCTAGCAATTAAAAGGGAAACTGAGAAGAAAATCAGGATGCAGTTCAGAGCACATCAGATGGTATAATTTTTCCTCTAACTTTATTTGGTGGCAATAAGCTCAAGATAATGCAGTTCAGAGTCCTGAATAGGATGTATTGGAAGTCTGCAAAGTCGTGGCTTATAAGAACTTGGTATTTGTTGAAGTAAACAACGTTAACAAAGTAAACAGACTGATCCAAAATACAAATAATATTGGCACTGAGTAATGAATATCATTGATGGGATGTGAGGATAAAAATTGCCCTGAATCTTCAGTTACTTATTGTATGTAAGTTCCTGCTATAAAAAACACATTTTACAATGGTTGTCCATAGCACTACCCAGTGTAAAATAGGAGACAATTTAGACACAAAATTTTAGCAACATGGGACACAGAAGACTGATGAACGACAAGGAAAGCCTCTTAAGAATTTTATATCCTTAGTATGATGATGATTCACCATACTTTAAAACAATATTAATATTATAGATGAGGAATCTTCTTGCAGTATGGGTTAGGCTGAAAAAGATGAAATGATGTAACTCAAATTTTTCTTATCTTATTTATTGTCTTTTTTTAAAAGTAAGCTTTTCTTTGCTGTTTGTTTGTAGTTGGAAAGGCATGACCTGTAGATACACTCCATTAAGTCCAGATTTTCAGAACTGTGTATGAGCAAGTACATGTCCAATTTGCACTCACAGTTATCATACTTATATGTGAGTTGTAGTAATTACCTGTAGAAATATCCGTGTGTTAAAAATGCACAGTTCTAAAAAATCCTGGCCTTCATTGCTGCCTTCTGGGTACATGTTAAGGTGTTTAATAATTTTTCTTTCTTAATTTGTATTTGCTGATCAAACATTCATGTGCATGTGGCCTGGTGGGCATAATATTTTCATAAGAAAAATATATTTTAATATCTCTTTTCTATAAAATCCAGAACCTTATTTTCCAAAGAGGACAAAGGGGTGCAGAAAATAGCCTAAATATTTTTAATCCTAATCACTGATGTTATATTGTCCTATGATGCATCCTCTCATAAGATAAATCACTTGTGATCTTCCTTATTTTGTCAGCTGCAAAGGATTTATTTAACTCAATGGCATCACTCTACTCCCTACTGTGGGTAAATGTTTGTAAAGAAAAGACAATTTCTAGTTTAATGGAAGGCAGCAAGACCTAGTTTTAGACTTTCCAGCTTTTTATAAGCTTCTGATTATTGCTATCAGTACTGAAAAAAGTACATTTTACTCATTTCCCAAATCTCTGAATGGAGAAATATAACCTTTTAATTGGCCCCACTGCTAGGTGTCAGGTTGATTTAAACATGGCTAGTTTATTTCAAAGCTTCCTACATGCGGAAATAAAAGCAGAAGTCAGACTCAGGAAACATGTTGGCCTAACCATCATTTTCCCTCCAGGAAAAAGGCTGCTCAAGACATTAGCATATATGCAAAATTGCTCATTGCTAAAAGTCCTAAAATCTTAGGCATGGATGTAACATGCCAAATACTGTTTTATTTCCCTCACTTCTCATCATGTTTTACCGAACAACCAAAATCTCTATCACATTTCTCACTATCAAGGCAGTTAAATTACTGGAAAAAAGTCAGGAATGCAAATTCACATCTTTAAAGGCTAATATGGGATTTAGCTACCCAAGTCCTATTGAAACTAATGAGATAGAAACCTGAGTCTGAACTGGGTGCTTGTACAGTTAAAGAGAAAATTTAAACAAGACCCAAAATACTATCATGCTGGGATTTGGCACTCCTGATAAGCCAGACTCCTGGGTTCTTATCAATGTTACCAGGAGTTCAAGAAATTTTTTAAAAAAATAGAAGAACAAACCTCACAACCCTACTCCCATGGCAGAGAACGCTGGACTTTACATCCACTGACCTCAAATGTGGGAATATATACACTAGAACATTAGTTTCAACTTCTGATATCCTGCAGGCTATCCAAAGGTAGGCATTACTGATCAGCCCAACTGTATTTTTAGATTCTCATTTTACATGTGCTTATGCAGAACACAGTTTGACAGCTTTTCCCCACTGTATTTTTGCAACAAGGATTTTTGAGGGCATACTTGTCCCACTTTGAGTGAGCTTAGAATATTTTAAGCTCAGGCTGTTCTTACCAGATGGCACAGACTCCAGGACCCAAATTCACTACTGGCTGAAATCAGTATTGCATATTCCAGCACTGAGTTTGGTCACCTCGTGTGAGTCAGACTGGTATTAGTCAAACTCCCATGGGGATGACATCTTGTTATGATTTAACAAGAGTTTCTTTCAGGATGAGGTCAATGAGGGTGCATCTATACTGTACCCTGTGCATCTACACTGCACCCGTAGCTTATTTCAATGTTATTTTGAAATAGCTTATTTCGAAATTTGGTGCTGTATACACAGCACTTATTTCAAAATAAATCGCTATTCCAAAATGTCCCTTACTCCTCACGGAATGAGGTTTACAGGGACGTTGGAATAGCGAGCCCGTTGTATTTCGAAATAACGGGTGTGCTCAACAGATGAGGATTGTAGATGTAGCCCTAAGAACTCTAGGAAGAACTTTAGGTGTGGTATTTTCAAAAGCACTCTGCACTGGCCTAATTCTACTCCCACTAACTTAATGGTACAGTTCTCATTGACTTCAGTGGGACCAGAATTAAGCCAGTTTTGCATACTCTTAAAAATTCTAACCTGCATGTTTATGACAACCATTAATTGTGGAATTACATAAGGAAAATGTTAATTAGAACTAAAGAGATGATTCTCCTTAATATAGATAGCAGCTGTTTTAAGGGCCAAATTCAGGGCTTTGGTATTGGTCCATTGACTTCAGAAGAATCAATACTCTCTCACCAGTGCTTTGAGTGCTCAAGTGAATCATATCTAGTCTTTATTTTAAATGACTTGTATAACAGTCATCTCAGAACAAGCACTGGGGTGCTACAGTACACGATGAATACATTTGGAATTTTAAGATGTTTTTACAGTGGTCCATTTAAAAATGCAGCAAACATCTACCTGATATGTTTCTATAGGCTTCGTTTCCATGTTCAGATCCCAAACTTTGACAGTGAGGTAATCCCTTGTTAGCATATATCTGCCACTGTGACTGAATTTAACATCTGACACTGAAGAGATAATTTCTGAAAAGAACGATCTGTTACTGGGGTCTTCCGGTTCTTCAAATACTGTTTTTGGGGGGGGAAAAAAGAGAGAAAATGAAATTAGAATATGATAAAATATTCCTTTATTCAGGGCTTCTCTTTTGTAATAATTCCTTTAACCATATAAATCTATACCATATTAAATAAATGACATGGCTGTTAATTTCTTCATGGTATCTTTAAATAAGAATACAAAATTCACATTTTAGAACATGGGCCGTGACAGTGTTGGAGGAAGTAAACATGATGGCTCATTTAGATTACAGATGATGGCCATTTAGAATTGAGTAACAATTATACTTAGAATTATTATTTATATTACACTACTGCTTAGGAGCTCCCCGTCATGGACCACAACTCCATTGTTCCAGGTGCAGTACAAACATACAAACAAAAGGCAGTCCTTGCTCTAAAGAGCTTATAAAGATCCCAAATGGCTTTACAAAACTGTACACCAGAGATGAGCAATTATTTTCACAGAGGGGGCACTTCATGAATTTTGGTATGTGATCAGGAAGGTATGTATTAAATGACTCTTAGTCACAATCCTGAAAAACGTGACAAAGAAGTTGTGCAAATAACTTACTTTTCAGTTCACTGGCCAAACCAAAACCTAAAACAACTGTTTTGGGTCAACATAAAATGATTTTTAGTTTTTTTAGCAACTAAAAATGTTTCTAAAAAAATTGGTGATCAAATCAAATGAAAACAAAATGCTTTATTTCATTTAACCAATTTTACCTTTTTTTTAAATTGCAGAAAGTTTCAAAACTCAGTTATTTCAAATATAAACCAGAAATGTTTCATTTTTAAAATGTCAAAATCAAATTTTTTTTGACTGAAACAATTTTGTAATTTGACATGCTTCGGCAAAATGGTTTGGTTGACCCAAATCTACATTTTGGCAAAAAGATATTTATCAAAAACACTGCTTAGCCTCAGTCAAGAACTTCATTTTATGTATTATCTAAAGAAGCAGAGGTCCTGCATGACATAAGGTGACCAGCTGGTTCAGTAGTTACATAGGTGGAAAAGCAATAATTAGTTAATCACCATCACTATACTTGCAACTTGTTTTTCCTAGGAGGGCTTCCATCCCATTACTTACCAGCTGAAATCTTGCTTAAACTGGGAGATTTATTTACCTGTAATGATTTTTTTCTTAAGAAAAAAAGTCCTCTGCATCTTCTGCCAAGGCATTTGGTATATTGTACAATATAATAAAATATTAACCATGGCTAAGATTTTCAAAGGGGCCTATGGAAAATAGGTACTCCACACCTATGAAAATGGCCCCTCTGAAAAATTCTGACCTAAAATGAAGAGCTACAATTAATTAAATATATAGTACACACTACAGAATACTAAAATAAATAAAAGTAATTAATTAATAATTATAATAATTAATATGCACTCAGGCCTTTAATCTGAAAAGCTCAACATGGTTTTTCAAAAGGAGTATTATTATCCCTATTTTGCAGATGAAGAAAGTTGAAGATTGACTTATAGATAAAAATAAAAGGTATCAAGCATATTTTGGATAGAACTATTAATTAATATTGTAACACAGGGCCTACAGGCCACAGGTCCATATGATAACTTATCTAAACTGAGGCCTAAGACCTAGAGATTTAACGGAAGCAACTAACCAGTAAGTGACCCTAGCTTATAAGTTGTCACAAGACAGCAGTGACCCTATATCGCCAGATATCATAAGATAGAATACTGCACTAAGCAAGTGTTGTTAAACTGCTGATATTTAGGAAATATATATTGCATAGGGTTGCCAGGTGTCCGGTTTTGAACCAGACAGTCCAGTATTTGAGTTTTCTGTTCGGGAAACAAATTGAGAAAATATAAATGAGAAAATATAAATGTCCAGTATTTTCTAAATAAGATGTAATATAGATTGTGATGTAATGTCAAGTGTGTCCAGTATTTTTGTTGAAACCATCTGGCAAAGCTAATATTGTGGAGATTTTTGCAGACATAGGCTGTGTCCAGACTCCATGCCTCCGTCGACGGAGGCATGTAGATTAGCCAGCTCGGAAGAGGGAAATGAAGCCGCGATTAAAATAATCGCGGCTTCGGTCAGCTGTTGGTCGGCAGATCGGGAGAGTCTGGACGCGATGCCCCGACAAAGAAGCCTTTCTTCATCGACACAGGTAAGCCTCGTGAAACCAGGTTTACCTGTGTCGATGAAGAAAGGCTTCTTTGTCGGGGCATCGCGTCCAGACTCTCCCGATCTGCCGACAAACAGCTGATCGGCAGATCGGGGCAGCCATTTAAATTTAAATGAAGCCGCGATTATTTTAATCACGGCTTCATTTCCCTCTTCCGAGCTGGCTAATCTACATGCCTCCGTCGACGGAGGCATGGAGTCTGGACACAGCCATAGGGAGACAACAATGTACTGACCACAAGTTGTTATAGTGATTGAGTGACATAAATGTTAATGAGTACAAGGAGAATTAACAGCCCAAGCACCCCCACACAGAATCAGGAAGAGAACTTGGATTTCCTGACTCCTAGCTGCCTGTGCTAACCACTTAATATTTTTTCTGTTTAAAAGTCTCAGAGGGGTAGCTGTGTTAGTCTCTAACTAGAAAAAATGTTAACAACTAGTTCTGCGGCACCTTGGAGAATAACAAAAAATGTAGATGGTATCATGAGCTTTTGTGGGCACAACCACTTCTTTAGATGAATCAGTGAGTTGTGCCCACAAAAGCTCATGATTCCATCTATATTTTTTGTTAGTCGCTAAGGTGCTGCAGAACTATTGATTGTTTTTTAAGTTTTTTCATACTTTTTCTGCACATTAAGTTCCTAGTCTGAGGTGAGATGTCTGCAAGTAACTAAGGAAAAGCATTTACTAAGGATTTAGATAAGTAAAGTGGCTTTCTCCCCCACGTACCTTTAAAGCAACACAATTAATGTGCATTTGTGCATCATTACTTTTGTAGACCACCAAGACTTAACTTCTCATTAAAATTCAAAGTAAATTACAGCTTCAAAGAATCAAAATAATGTTATGCTGAAAAATAAAAGAGTTGATTATATGTGGGTTAACTCAGAAAATGATGGGCAACTTTCTTTGTGGGCGGTGAGTGAAATGCAGCCATCCCTTGCACACGAGAATAGACTGTATTAGAACACATGCAACAAATATAAATGACAATGAATCACATCAAAAGAAAGAAAGAAGAAACTTTACAGTCAGAGAGTAAACGAACATCTTTAAACAGCTCTCTAAAAATGTGCAAGGCATTCAGTACAATAGATATTTTGTAATTATCCTGTCAAATTTTTCACAGAAAACTGATGAGCACAACGCAATTATCATCTCTCACACCTCTTCCCTTTAATCTGTCCAAACCATATATTGTGAATGGCAGAAATTTCATCCTCCTAATTATGATGCAACGTTGTTATTAAAACCAGAAAGAAAAAAAAACACTAAAGTGCACTATCATTTGTGGCAGTGATGAGTTTTCTCCGTTTTTCATCTTAAAAGCTCTGAGTTCTGTCACTAATTTCATCAGGAGTTAGGTCAGAATGGCTGTGCTCTCTAGGGGTATGTCTAGACTACAGGCTTTTGTCGACAGAAGTTTTGTCGGCAGATACTGTCGACAAAGCAACTGTCGACAAAGTACATCTAGACTACATCAGGTTCTGTCGACAAAGCAAGGTGATGTCTGGTTGGTGGTCGGTTTCAAGCGGAGTGGCCCAAGGATCACTTCTAGGACCGGTTTTGTTCAACATCTTTATTAATGACCTGGATGCGGGGATGGATTGCACCCTCAGCAAGTTCGCAGCTGACACTAAGCTAGGGGGAGAGGTAGATAAATTGGAAGGCAGGGAAAGGGTCCAGAGTGACCTAGACAAATTGGAGGATTGGGCCAAAAGAAATCTGATGAGGTTTAACAAGGACACATACAGAGTCATGCACTTGGGATGGAAGAATCCCAAGCATTGTTACAGGCTGGCAACTGACTGGCTAAGTAACAGTTCAGCAGAAAAGGACCTTACAGTGGATGGGAAGCTGGATATGAGTCAACAGTGTGCCCTTGTAGCCAAGAAGGCTAATGGCATATTAAGGTGCATTCGGAGGAGCATTTCCAGCAGATCTAGAGAAGTTATTATTTCCCTTTATTCGGCACTGGTGAAGCCACATCTGGAATATTGCGTCCAGTTCAGGGTCTCCCAATATAAAGGATGTGGATGCATTGGAGAGGGTCCAGCAGAGGGCAACCAAAATAATTAGGGGGCTGGAGCACATGACCTACAGGGAGAGGCTGAGGGATTTGGGTTTGTTTAGTGTGCAGAAAAGAAGAGTGAGGGGGGATTTGATAGCAGCCTTCAACTTCCTGAAGAGAGGTTCCAAAGAGGATGAAGAGAGACTGTTTTCAGTAGTGATCTATGGCAGAACAAGGAGCCATGGTCTCAAGTTACAGTGGGGGAGGTCTAAGTTGGATATTAGGAAAGACTATTTCACGAGGAGGGTGGTGAAGCACTGGAATGGGTTACATTGGGAAGTGGTAGAATTTCCATCCCTTGAGGTTGGGATGATTTCGTTAGGTAGGTACTGCTTTGGGCAGGGAGCTGGACTTGATCACCTCCTAAGGATTCTATGATCCAGCCCTATGATTCTATGATAATCCCCATTATAATTATATCATATGTATTTCATGGAAAAAAAACTAATAATCTTATAATTTTCATGAAAAAAATAAATCACAATGTTAATGAGTTCCAAAAGTCAATGTTAACTACACAACTTAACTCTTCCCACTTGTGTGTTTTGCCTTAAAAATGTTTTTATTTCATATTAATTGCCAAAATCTTAATATGCAAACTGCTTTTTTCTTCTTCTATTCAATATAGATATGTTTTAGGTGCTAGGGAATACTAGTCCAGAAATTTTCAATCTGTGATTTATGGCCCACAGGTAATTCACAGAGCAATTGCTGATGGTTTATGGGGAAATGGCCAGTCATCTCTGGAACCAATGCTTCCTCCTTATT